AGCCCTCGTTCACACCTGAACGTTTTGTAGCGCGTTCTACGCTCGACGAACGCTCTACAAAACGCTCAAAAATATAAATCCCATTGTATTCAATGGTCTCATTCCCACCTTGGCGTATTTCCGCCCGTCCTTAACGCGCTACAAAACGGCCCACGCCTGAAAAGGTACATGTACTACTTTGGGCCGTTTTGTTGCGCGTTTCCATTGGGATACAGCCAAGTAGCCTTCGGAAACGCGCGTTTCCCGTGCGACTTTTTACCGCGAGTCCGAGTTCCCCATGGTCCCTGTGTGTGTTGTAGACATGTAAGCTCCAGAAAACTTCGGTTTGGTTCAGATATTTCCCTATTTTGGGATTTGGATCCGAAATTCCATTTGGTTCAGGTTTCAGATTTGGATGAAATCCGAATTTTCGTTACTTTTGGACGAGTTTATGAATATTCATTATGAATACCACAGAAAACCATATACAGATATTAATACTAAAGCTGAAGCTCCTAGACCCAAATGGCATTCAGGATCCAAATTTCCCAATTGCATTCAAGATCTTCCAAATGCCATTCGGGTCTGGGAGCCATATACATATATTACTAAAGCTGAGGCTCCCCGTATATATTCGATATGGTTCCCATGTTGCCGTAACGAAAATTCATGGTCAGACCCATTTGGATGCATTAAACCAAAAAACACATGTGATTGGCCAGAAAAGTCACATGTCCGATTCGGTTTCGTTTTTGAATGTAATTCGGACAGGATCCGAAATTCGGAAACTGAAATTAAGATTCAGTTTCCTTCGGATGCATTTTGATTCGGAAATTCGGATGTGTCCGCATGTCCACATTTCGGAACATTCGTCTGTATTTTGATTCGGAATGAAACAAATCGCACATGTCTAGTGTATTGTAAAGCAGTCACCGGCCGCTCCCAGCTCGCTCCCGGGATGGACTACAGTCCCAATACAAATTAATAAATTAAACATGAGACTGTTTGGCTTAAATGTGAAGTGCCTGTCTGCAAAAAAAAAGATATCATGGCATTAAAGTGTATATTAATAAGAAAGCTTACTTTTTTTTTTAGTTCTGTATGGAGTGGGGAAAGGTGGTGTGACAGCTATCACTATGCTGTGACAGCTGTGATAAAACTACAAATCCCATCATGCCTCTGCCAGTCATGCTTGTGGATGGCAGAGTCTTGCAATGCCTCATGGGATTTGTAGTTCCACTACAGTTGGAGGGCCAAAGTTGCGTAAGCCTGGGTTAGATACTCAGCAAAGATGTGTCACAGCTGAGGAGATATAACCCGTTCTTGGTCCTGATAATCCTGGTGACAGGAAGTCAGAGGAAATCTTACAGAATTGGGGGTGTTCATTCATTCTTATCACTTCCTCTCCCCCGTGTCCCCACATGCTTCCCCACGTTGTACGAATGTTTATTCCCCGCACAGGTTACATTGTATCATATTGTCTTCCGTTTCCTCCCAGTCAGTGGAAGGGGCCGCCTCCATCACATCACTTCCCCCGGACACCCGGCTCCTTCTAGGCTCAGATCCGGGCTTCTATCCGCTAACATGCCGCTGTCTGAAGGCCGGGGGTCGGCGCTGCTTGTGTCCGGCATCGTCCTTCTGTGTGTCGGGGCAGTGCTGGTGTCTGCTGAGCACGGACTGGGCCGGGGTAATTCACACTGACGGGGGCATAGCACAGTGCGGGGTACATACAAGTACATTGCTGTTCTGCCACTTGTTTCACTTTGTGGTTGGTCACAGTACTGGGGGTCTCGGCTGAGGGCACTCCAGGCCTGGGGGGGGAGGGTTCAACTAAAGGAACTCTAAAAATGAGAAAAGGG